GAAACCATTCGACATGGTTAAATCTCCAGTATTCTTACCGGTTAAGAATACTTCAAGAATTACTAGGTTACAGGTGTTTCCATCTACAACCTACCGATAAAAAAAAAAAAGAATACCCCGGTCGGGTATGGGCACAACAGAACTTCGAAAGTTCTACATCCATCGAAAGGCAAGGCAGCTGACCGGTCAAACCATGGAGTAGGAATTCACCGGTCAAACTAAACTTTATCAAAGAGTTGGCAAAACTACCCAAAAGGCCAAAGTAAAGTTCGGCCGGTCAAACTTTTTAAGTTGACCAAAATGATGACGTTCGAAAAGCAAAAATTGAAGTTTAACCGGTCAAAGTTTCTCGGGCTGACTCTTGAAATGACGTGACCAGAGAGAACTTTGAAGTTATACCGGTCGAACGTAATAGTGGTACTATACCGGTCAAATATCCTATGATGGCGTTCTAAGAAGCAAGAGCGAAGTATCAATCAAAAGGCAAGCAGATAGGGAAGACTAACCGGTATGGAAATTCAGCATTGCATTAAAGAGGAATAAGAAAGTTAAGTGTTTACAAGTACACCGGGCATTCCCAGGGAAATGGATTCGAAGTTTACATAAAATAGTTCAGCCGGGCGCAGCCGGGGAGATCAATCAAGGGGAAATGGGGGAGTAGGCTCTTCCTCCGGGATGGGAGCCAGGCCGTATGAAGCTGCAGTAAAGTCCGGGTCCCTTTTCTTCAAGATCCGATGAGAAGCAGCCCGGTCTTTCTTCTGACCGCTCTTGAATCCGAAGGACCCAATAGCGGTGATCATCTTCTTCCCCTCAGGCTCCCGGTAAAGAAGCCTGAAGGACTCCATGGTAGCTTCCGGGCTAGCCGTCATCACCCGGGTTGCTTCAGCCTTGTTCTCTCCCACCCATGCGGCAGCACGACCGGGGAAGTCTTTCTCCTTCTGGGATATCTCCTGCTTCGCCCCAGAAACTTCGTCGAGTAACCGGCAGTTTTCTTCCTTCAACTGAGAGATCTCCACCTTCATAGACCCGGCTAGCCCAGATAGCCTGGTCAGCTCGTCAGCTTGACTCTTCAAGATGAGAGCCATCTCCTCTTTCTCCTTCTTCAGCCGGGCAAGTTCTGAAGGAGAGCCAAACCCCAGCCGGTCAGCTGTAAGGGGGCCGATTTCTCCAACCTGCAGCATGCGTGAACCAACCAGTTAAACTTCAGAGAAAAGTAGGGACCTAACATACCGGGAGGGGAATTCAACTTACCTCCCTCAGCCTCAGCCCAAGGTTGACGAAGGCCTCCTCGACGGTCTGGCCGGCCGGCTCAGAATCCGACCTTGCCCTCTTCTTGGCGTAAGATGGGTGCGTGGTGGCCACCTTCTTGGTCCGACGACCGGTTTTCTCTTTCTCCTTCCCCTTGGACCGGTTGTTTTGGGGTTCGTCCTCATCCAAAATCTCCACGGTCTCCTGGTGGACCGGGAAGGTTTTGGAAGGGTTGGCTTGGGAGCCCCCGGTCTCCCCCGCCGGTTGGTCATCAGGGATGACAAACTCTTCGAACTCCATATCTGCGAAAGAAACTAAAGCCGTTAAGTACAAATAATTCGACCGGTCAAATACGAATCACAAGAAAGATGAGAAATACCTGGGTGGTTCTGGTCCTCAGCCTCTGCAGTGTTGCCCGGGGAGGGTACCCCGCGCCCCGCTGCTTCATGGGCCGGGGAGGTACCCTCACCACCCGACTCGACCCTCCAGACCCAGCTGCCATAGTGGAAGACCCTCCCGGTGTAAGGATCCCCGCGCATGAGGACTTCAAGACTCGCCTCCAAGTCAGGGGAGGAAGCCGGTGCAGCGTACTCTTGGTCAAGGAGATGGTCATTCCATTTCAGACCGGCGAGAGGAGTGAAGAAGGGGGGAAACTCGATGAAAACAAACTTTTCCTTCCATCCCCGGTTACTCTGGGGGACTTCGGAAATGAACTTCCTACCGGTGCGGGCTTTGAAGAATACAAAGCCTTCGCAGCCAGCCCCGCCCGGTAGGACTTCGAAGCAAAAAAGGAAAAGACGTAAAGAAGGGAAGATTTTCAGATGGGTACAAATATTTACGAAGGAATGAAGGTACCGGTGGGCGTTAGGAGTTATTTGGCCGGGCAAAATCCTAAACGC